TGAAAGTCCTCCTTTATGGAAGAGATAGAGCTCTTTTAAGCATTCTCTCTTCCTGTTGTTTCTCTATTAACTAAAGCAAAAGTTGTGTCGTGATAGAAAATAAATTCCCTGATAAGTGTTGGGAGAGAGGATGTGTTGGTGTTTGCAGTAGAAGTGCAACAGCTTCTGGCAGGGTCATTTTGTTCTGTTCCTTTGAAACTTTAAAACTCAATTCATTCAGCGACATCCCAGTGTGCCTTCGTAGGCTCTAACTGTTCTTTCTTTCTTAGGTGGATAGAAATCTGGGACTCAAACCATGACTACAGTCACTTCTCAGATGCTTCCCTGACCCCTGCAGATGGCTGAGCAGCAACTTAGCAACAAGGAGTTGGCCAGCTCAGCAGTGTCCATCTGAAGACCACTCTGTATTCTTCCCTTGAAGGACACATTAATGTGGGAAAGACACCTTGCTTGTTCTTACTAATTTTTAAATGCCAAATAGTTGGAAATGATGGCTCTGACTACCAGTAGGAACTTGATTTGCATATGTGAATACCTTCTTGCTGTTGTGTTGGCTCATCTGCCAGAGAAAACCCAAGAGACCCAAAAGCCAATCAAGAGTAAAAGCTATTGTTGGCCATTTGCAAGGCCGGTTAGTGGTTTGGGGTTTGTTGGGAAGGGAAGGTTCTGTGGCATGCTTTTAGTGGTGAGCGAGGACTGAATTGTGATTTAATTGCCAAACTTGTTCCCATCTGAGTCCTGCAGTGTGCAGCAGATGAGCTGTGGTGTGGGTGAGGCCCAGCCCAAAGCCTGCAGAGCGAGACTGAAACAGAAGTACCCAACAGCATGCTGCTGAGGAGAAAGATCTGCACTCCGAATCAGCGTGTTGTCAATAAAAGTCATACAAATGTCACATGCCAGAGTGGCTCCTGCAGAAATCCATATGATGAGCGGTAATTTACCACAGGAGTGCTATAGCTGTCCTTACTGACTAAACCAGCTTTAGCTTTGCGAGTTAGAGGTGTCCGAGAGAGAATCCAGTGCGTGAAGTTCATGTAGTGAGGAGTGCCAGTGGCATGCCCTGCCTGTCTGTCTGCAGCTCAGCCCAGGATTTCAAAGGTCCTTTTGAGAAGTAATAGATCGTGTGAGGATACTAAGATGCAAGTAGGTCCTTTAATTGACAGTTGCCCAAACTGATGAAGTTACGGCTAAAATTGACAAAATTGGGCCTCCCTAACTGAAGACTCTTACATTGCAGATTTGAGGCCCCAACTGTGATGTGTGCCCTAGTGTCACATGAAATTACTGCTGTGCGTATGGCAGAGCCACCAGCAGTCCTTCCTCATCGATACACAGTGGCGTTGGGATGAGCTGGTGTGGGGACAGGACTAGTGTCTTTGAAGATAAAATTATGCCCCAAAATTTTGTGTCAGTGACCTCACTTCTGCTGCCCTTCATAGAATGTGTTGATGCCAGCAAGCAAACCACATGTTTGTGGTGCTCATAATTGTTCTTTTCAAACCATTAAGTGTATTGCCTCAGTCCTATTTTCTTCAAATTGCCATAAAAGAGCAGTTCTGTGTACATTGCATTGCACACACTGTTCAGATGCATGCAATAATGTCCTTAACTGTGAAATAGCTTAGCAGAAATGTTACTTGCAGAAGGAATAAAACCTCCATTCTCTTTTATGGTTCATAAAAAGATAGCTTTTCTCATATGGCTGGTGATGTCATTTGTTTTTGCCTTGTTCTAAGCTTCTCTCCATTATTTTTCGTGCTTCTTCCTTTATCAAAGACTCTGCAGTAGAGAAGCAGCAGGAGGAAGTTACCTCCCTTGCGCTGAATGAGCGTGGAAGAGTCCCGAGTCGCGATTGGGCCTTGCAAGCAGCCAAAGCTCGCTTTTCCTGAACACTGGAGTAAAGCTTGCAGGAGTGCTTAGTCTGTAACCTGACCTTCAGCATGCAGTAAATATGAAATGCTTATATACAGCTTTGTTCCCTGTTCATTAGGAGTTTGTGATAAAAGCAGGCAAATTGGGGAGGAGGGAAGCAGGAGGTGGAGAAGTAGGGAGGCTTTAAGAACTTGGTGTTATGCCACTTGATCTGTGTAGTTACAACCAGTGGACATAGGCAGGAGTTATGTGTCTGATTGATGGGCAAAGCCCAAAATTAGCCTCCCTGCGGAACAGGGCATGCTGTGAGTGTTGCATTAGATGTTTGTAGCTGAACTGATTGTGAAGTAAGGCTTCTCTACCAACAGACTCCATGGACACCAGTGCTCGCAGCTGCTCAATGCTGTGCAGTGAAGTGAAACTTGTGTATTGGCTCTGCTTTCCTGTTCGTGTCAGTGTGCTTGCAAAGGAGAAATTCAATAGGAACTATTATGCTCTATTAAAAAAATTAAAACAAAGTTTTTCTAGGCTGTCCTCCAAGAACTACAACCATGAAGCAAATACATGATCCATGCATCGTGACTGTGGGCAGCAGGTAGAGAGTCCCTGGGGATGCAGTGAGCTACAGCAGTCCATGCAAAGATCAGCGTGAAGGTCCCCGCAGAGAATGGTGCCTGGAGAATGTAAATTCTGCTGCCCCTTCAGAGGATGAGAAAGCACGATGGCAAGAGAGAGCAAGTGTGAGAAGGCTACAGGGAAAGAAGCATATGACACAGAAAAGAGGTGGGGATTTAGAGTATAAACTGAATTTATTAATAACGTCTGATAGAACAACTTTAAATATTTTCTGACATGACACAGCAAAGGAATAAGGAAGGGTGAGAGCAAAGGGATTCATTTCCTTGAGACAGTTCAGACTGTAAGGGGCTGGGTATGAGATGTTTTTTCAAGAGCAGGGCAAGTTCATTAAGGTGACATTAACTGAATGACGAGGAAACAGGAAGAGTCACAGGCTGGGCAGCTGGATCTCATTGCAGGTAAGACACCGAAGCTGTAGAGAACAAGTAAATCTTCTCTATGCTGAATGGTGGGTGAGGAGGTTAATTGCTAGAGAGCTCCTGGGAAATGATGCAATAATCTTACTGTGTGTTACTGTAGGGAGAAAGATCCTTAGGACTGTTTGTGTGGGAGTCCTTTGGTGGCCATGGAGGCCTTGACATTCAATCAGTTACTCAAGACTTTTCCCTGAAGCAGCTCACAAGTGGCTTTTATCCTTTGGCAGAATCACCTTTGGGCTCGTCTGCTGGCTTCCTTGTATTTAATCTGGAGATTAGATAGATTCTATTTCTGATGAATGCTGGGCAGATATAGCTATTAACCTTTCACTGGAGAGCAAAGATGCCATTAACTGTGAGCTGATAAGAACTATCCATAAAGCTGTGATTAAGCACCAGAATTTAACTTTTTTTTTTCTCAAATGTTCATGGATCTAAGCCAAAAGGAAATGTGTTTATGTTCCTGCCAGTTAAGGCAGTCAGTGAGGCTTTGGGGAGAGCCAGGAGAAGGACGAGGTGGCTGAGACTCCTCATTACCTCCTGAAAGGGTTGTGTTATCTTGAGCAGGGATAGGCAAAGGAGCTTACTTCTGCAGGGTGGTGCATCAGCCTGGTCTCCAGACTGTCAGGGCAGGCTGGTGTTCCCTGGGCATGGCTTGCTCTTCCTCCTGTGAGTGCTCTGAACAAGGATGCCTTTTTGCATTTCACTTTGCTCTGCATAAAAAAAGACAAGCTCAGGTAGGAGCTGCAATTTCTGGTCCTAATTGCAAAACGGCACATTGTCAAGAGCCTGCTCACCCTCCAAGTGGGTGTGAGAAGCAGGACAAGGCTGGGAGTGCAGAATTCAGGGGAGGTGTGTCGGGGTGCCCCTGGTTCCTCATCTGCAGTGTTAGCAGCCAGTGCTGCCAGTCCTGCTTCCAACCGGTGCTCACACCTAGCAGCCTCTGCCTGCCCTTTGCATCAACTTCGCTCTTTCCTGATATTTCAAGGTGAGTAGCTACAAAAACACCTGGTGGGTGTTGAGAAGAGGTTGGTAGAAAGAAACAAATGCTATTTGGTATTGCATCCAGCAGAGAGTAGGGACAAACCCTGAGCCTGAGGAGCTTCGCCAGGGTGAGTGGCAGGAGTGAGTGGCAGTCAGCAAAGAGATATGCCAGCTCCTGTTTGAAGGGGCAAATGGGAGATCTGCTGTGGAGCACCAACAACAGAATAAAGTACAGCCAGTGTACAGTAACTCCTCAAGTACAGAACAGCAATTAGCATCTTCCGTATCTGCACGGATATGTTTTTCAGAGCCACAGTCCAGCCTCCTGTGGCCTACAAGTGTAGACCTGTTAAAGTGGTGAAACTGAGACATCAGATGGAGGGAAGGGGGTTGTTTTAAAAGCACTTTTTGCAAGGACCCCGCAGAAACTTCACATGATCTAAACCCAAACTTCTATCACCAGAGTTAAGAGCACAAAGTGGTTTTGCAGCATATAGGAAGTGAAAGGCCCTCTAGGAGGGCTCATGTGACAAAGGGACATTACTGGGAAAGAGAAAGCTTCCGCTAAGCAATTTAGAAGGCCTCTGTGTGTTATCTTTCCCAAACACAGGGATCTCGTTAGGGCTTAGCTTTTATTTGCCCTTTCCTGCTCTCAGCTTCTGTCCACAATGATATTCCCACAGCACTCAGCAAAGGCCATACGATGCTTATGGACTGTTCCCTCTCAACTGCTCTTCTCTCTCACATGTCCTCTTGCAATGTACCCCTCACCAATTCCCCAGCTTTTGGTCCTCAGAAGATCCCTCCTCTTCAGACATGCTTCTGGGGGAAGCTGCAGCCATTTGCAGGGGTCCAGACAGTGTCGGTCTCCCTGGCACGCCCTGCATTGCGGGAGGTGTAGCCTGCATGTCCTGCCACCCCAAGGTGTGGATGTGGAAGACAACTTGTCCATCCCAGAGTCCACCCTGGCTTGGCTCACCAGACACCGTATAAGTAAGTACATTGGGAAGAATCTAGAAGAAATTTGGCCCCTCATAAAAAGGGGTCACCTGGGAAGTCTCTGGAGGGGGTGAGGCAGCTGTGCTGGTTCTAGGTCTGCCCCAGGGAGGGCAAGCAGTCCAGGCCATTCTCTGACCCAGCCGAGGAGTCCCGGGAAGAACGGCCCTGGAGAAAGCGGATGATTTTGTCGATTGTGGCCTCCTGGTACTCGTGGGACCACCTGTGTTCAAGAGGAAAATTTGAGTTAATTTTTCCATTGTGCCAGATGCCATGGTCAGGATCAGAGACCCCCTTCCTATAAACCAGCTCTCTAGCAGCACCCTTTTCCCCATGGAAAATGGAGGAACGCTGGATGTTGCAGGAAAGCCCCTTCCCCTGTGCCTTGGCAGGCTGGAGGGCTACAAGGGAGTTGGGATGCCAGCCTGGAGTACTGCTGCACGAAGGGGAAGCAGGAGGCGAGAGAAACCCAAGCGAGCTGCAAAACCTGCCAGCATCACTGCTGCCTGGAGGGCTGGGGCCACGAGGATGGGCATCATCCTCCCAGTGGTGATGGGGTGGGGAGCTCTCTTACCCAGAGGAGCCCCAATCACAAAATCAGCAGGACAGTTATGGTGGGGACGTTTGCTTCCTTCGTGCTCTGGAGTACCTGAAGTGACTCACCTCCCCTTTGGCCTGTTCTGCCTCCCTCTTCTGTTTCTCCCAGTTTCCTTGTGCTCTTTGCTACTGCTTGTGCAAGCTGTTCTCTCCAGGTGTCAAGGAACCCCATGGCACAGGTTCCTTTTACTTACTTGATACCATTAAATTTCAGGACAGCCCTCATGTCCTTGGGAAGTGTTTCTGGGTCCGGCCACTCAAAATGATCTGTAACAGGTACAATGTTCTTTCCAGAGTTCAGGGCTGTCACAATCTCCTGCAGGAACATGCAAGTGTCAGCCCATCACCAGCCTCCTCCTCCTCTAGCATCCACCAAGCTCCCATCTGATAGCATCTCCTACCTTGTGCACCCAGTCCTTGCACTCAGGGTCTCCCATGCATTTATCCAACGCATTTGGTGAGAGGACCAGCACAAAATTACGGGCACTCATGACGCTCTGGATCAGCTTGTCCTCAAACTTCCCTGCCTCCAGCTTCTCCACATCGATGAACACGCTGAAGCCATGCAGCTGCAGATGGACCTTCAATAGGCTGGTGGTGAGAGGAGACAGCACTGTGAGGAGAGCTACTGCCAGCGCCTGGGCTTCCCACCACATCAGCCAAGACACGATGAGACAGAGAAGCAGTGGATGGGCTCCCTCAGAAAACAGAATGGCCCTTGAGACGCCAGCTGCCAGTCCAGCCTGTTTATGGGTATCAGCCCACACAGAAGACACGGGGAGCAGGACACTAACTCCCTGCTGTGATCCCCTACAGCCCTATGAGCACAGTGTGAAAAAGCGTAAGTCAGTGTCAAAGAGGGGACAGGGTGGCAGTGATAGGACCGGAAATTAGGCCGTCCACCATGCAGCTTTCAGCACGTGCTGTCCCCATTTGCACTGCAGCTTTTGGCAGCCTCCGCCCTGCTGCAGCTCTCCTAGCTCCATGCTCTTCCCATGACCGATCACCAGCCTCCACTCTGGGCTTCAGCCCAGCACCACATTGTTGCCTGCAGGACTCACCTGGCCAGCTGCGACCCGGTGCTCCTCCGGTAGCTGATAAATACATCAGTCCCATTGGATGCAGTTTGCAGCGTTATAGGGGAGTGAAGCATTTCTAGGCAGAGCAAACGGCAACCAAGTGTTAAAAGTACCCAACAACTCATCCCAAACAACCCTCGATACTCGCCCCCATCCGCCTGCTCTGGTGCAGCGAGCAGCAGCGGGACCCACACCCCTTGCAGCAGTGAGGATGCGGACACGGTGGAAGCCCATATTGATGTGGCAGTCCTCCTGCAGCTGCTGCTCCGTCACCCGGTGCAAGAAGTTGCGGTTGATGCCACACGTCAGCAGGTTGTACGTGTACTGACGAAATTTGGGGTCGATGCTGCCCAGCCAGTCGGCCAGGTTGCTGCGGTCACACGTGGAATAGTTTGCGAAGGTCTTTAGCTCTGTCAGCTCCCGGAAGAACCTGGCAGAGAAACAAATGAAAGCATGGAGCAGGGAGGAGAGGCTGCTGGACCAGACAGGACCTAGAGAAATTTGGTACCACATCTTTTATCTTCACAGGAGAGGATGCAGCTACATGCTGTGGTGAAGAACAGCTGTGTGACTGCTGGTCCTCAGGACACAGAGGTATGAGGAGCTCAGCTAAGGGAGGAGAAGCTCAGGTAAGTTCCCATCTTTCTGGGTAACTTGCAGGATCACACCTCCCTTGTGCTATAGGTCTTTCTCCCCATCCCACACCTCTCCTGTGCATTGGCCCCATTGCAGGAACCCTTCTGGGACTGCATGCTGCACTGCAAAAGCTCTGTCAGTCCAGCTTTTGCATTTTGAGGATCTCTGTTCTTGTCTTTGCAAGAAGGGAAAGGCCACAGACCTTTTCCCTGGCTCTGCCACTGTGGTGATCACCATGAGAGGCCAGCATGCCCTGGTCCTACCTTTTCCGAGTGATACTGGAGTCCATCCCCAAATCCTCCTGCAGTTCCTCCTCTGTCAGCCTCAGGAGAATGTCCCCATCCACCTGGTGGTCCTGCCAAGAGAAATCCAGGCTGGAAAGGTCCCAGGAGAAGCTGTTGGGTGAGATGTTTACACCTCTGCTGCAAGATGCGGCAAAAGGGCCCATCCAGGTATCCCTCCCCCGGCGCACAGCCCTACCAGGAAGCTCTGGCAGTATTTGTTGAATCCAATCTGCTGCAGCCATGTCTGCACCTCACAGGGCTTCCAGTTGGGAACTGTGGGCAGGATGCGCCGAGGAACCTCCTCCCCTATCATGCGCAGCACCTTTTTGGCCAGGGAGGAGGTGGTGCTGCTGGTGCAGTAGCACACCACCCTCTTCAGGCTCTGCGTAGCCCCAATCTCACTGAAAACCTGGGGACACAAAGAGAGGAGACATCGCTTTACTTTCCATTCTCCTCCTGACAACCTGTGCTGGGCCAGCTGAGGACCAGGGTACTTGGTGGGCTCACAGGGGAGCAAAAGACACCAAGATGACACTAAAATGATCCAAGGGCCGGACCACCTCTCTTATGAGGACAGGCTGAGAGAGTTGGGGCTGTTCAGCCTGGAGAGGAGAAGCCTGCGGGGAGACCTGATTGCGGCCTTTCAGTACTTAAAGGGAGCCTATAGAAAAGACAGGGAAAATCTTTTTAGTAGGGCCAGCTGTGACAGGACAAGGGGTAATGGTTTTAAACTAAACCAGGGGAGGTTTAGACTGGATATAAGGAAGAAATTCTTTACAATGAGGGTGGTGAAACACTGGAACAGGTTTCCCAGAGGGGTGGTGGAGGCCCCATCCCTGGGAACATTCAAGGCCAGGTTGGACGGGGCTGTGAGGAACCTGATCTGGTTAAAGGTGTCCCTGCTCACTGCAGGGGGGTTGTACTAGATGACTTCTAGGGGTCCCTTCCAACCCAAAACATTCTATGAAGATGCAGATGTGGCAACTCTTCCCTTTTGCATCTCCTTCCTTCAGGCCAACCTACCCTTTACCTTTGTTTTCTTCTGCCTGGTTTTGATGGCAGCCTCTGTGCAGAGGTAGAAGGCAGCGATGCACTGTGCTTCCAGCCGTGAGCTGTCCAGCAAGAGTACCAGCCGCTGCAGGTCGTCTGCTGTCCTCCCCTGGCTGTTGTCACTGCTGCCCAGCATCTCACAGGCAAACTGCTCCGGATCCAGCGAGGCGATGAACGGCTCCACCAGAGCCAGCGTCCCTGAGCGCTCTACCTCCTTCTCGATTTCTTTGTTGGTGGCCAGCACCGTAATGGCCAGGCATGCGTGCAGGCGGATTAGTTCATCGTCTCTTGAGAACACCAGTGGGAAAAGCCACTCTGCCGTCCTCTTCTCGATCATCAGGCGCTGGTTGGCCTGCCCTCCGTACATGGCACAGTTGGCCAAGGCCATGGCACAGTGCCGCAGCACAATGGGGTCCGTCCAGCGGCACCAGTAGAGGATAGCATCCAGGCCTCCATCAGAGATGAGCTGGAAACAGGTCTCCTCAGTGTGTTTGAACATGTGCTCCAGGATACCAGAGACGCTCTGTGCCAGCTGGGGAACATCTCGCTCCTTGGCTAAGTTCAGAATCACTCCCAGACCGATCCGAGCGATCCGATCCCTGCAGGAAAAAAAGACACAGGCAGGTGAGGGGCAGACAGCTGTGCAGGGAGTGAATACAGTGACTGGCATGTGAACTCCTCTGTGCTTTGGTGGCATTTGGCCCACGAAAGCCAGCTGTTTCCCTGTGGGACACGGCCGCCAGATACGCTGTCAGGCCACAATGCAAGCAAGATGCTACAGGCTGGTGTTGGAAGAACCTGTCTGGGTCAGATAGAAGAGCCTGTGATGAGACATGACATGGGGTGCATAGCCCAGGACCACCACGCCAGAGGCTCTTGTACTCAAGGTAAGACATAATGTAGCAAGTAACAGTGCAGGGTAGGCTAATGCTAGATCTGCTTAGTCAGCTTTGCTGGGGGTGTGTGACCTGCTTTGTGTTCGGGGGTGAAAACTCATTTGCCCCTAACCAGTGCTGTCCTCTGGCTGCTCCCCATATCGGTGCCAAGCCCAGGACAGGGGTTTCACACCTGGCTGAGCAACCATGCAGAACTGGCCACAGGGGCACGCAAGAGCCGGGGATCTGCCTGTCCTGAGACAGCAGCATGGAGGCAGCTTGAAGGAAAGCTGTTTATTTCAGCAATCCTGCACTCTCCTAGAAGAGGACAGCAAGAGCCCAGGGGCAGGTGGCCGAGGGCCACCAGCTGCTGCTCAGCCATGGCTGTCCTTGAGCCCCAGGCTGCAAGGATGGTTTTAAAATGACGCCTGAATGGGGCTGGGCCCTAAAAGTGTAGAGCGAGGAAGGGGAAAACAATGGGCTCTCCCCTGCCCTCCCAGGAGCCTGCCTGGGATGAGGGGGCAGCTCCATCTCTGGCCTTAGAAATGACCCATTTGGTGCCGTGTTGGAGCTGCTCTGCTCACAAGCCACAAGTGCTGGGGTGGTTGCCCCATGCTGCACTGCCCGTGCCGTGCTGCCCATGAGGGCAGTGGTCTGTTTGGCCACAGCAATGGTGGGGTGAAGGCACACCAGTCTCTCCACGCTGGCAGATGGGAAGAGCATTTCTGGGAAGCCTGTGGCCCACATGGCTCATGCTGACCTTGGAGTGGGTTTGGCAGCAAATGCTGCGGAGAGGTCTGGAAAAAAAGCCTCAGCCTGGGACTGGCTCTGAGCCCAGACTTGGCCACGGAGCTGGATGACAAACACAGCCCCACCAGGCCCCTGACTCCCCGCAGCTGCGGGATGGAGCCAGGACTGGTCCAGCTGCCAGCTAAGCACCACTGCTGCTGAGCATGGGTGCTGGGAGAGGTCTCTAAGCCAGAGGCTTGACCCAGTGGGGGACCCTACACCTCCCTGCCATCGCTTGGAGGTTGATGGTGGGTCAGTCTGTGGGGAGTGAGGGGCTGGGGGCCCACGGCTGCTGTAAGACCCGGGCCCATGAACTGTTCCTGGAGCAGAGATGGCGACTCCAGCAGCTGCTTTGTCTTGCCAGGAAACTAAGTGCTGAATTCAGATCCTGCTAGTGATGTTTCCTGGGATTAATTCCACTCTAATGGATTTCCTGATTTAGCTGTTGCTTCTTTTTGCCTGCCAGTGCATGCAGCAAGGCCCAGGCTGCGAGTCCACAACCTTACAGCAAGACACTTCACCCATGAAGCTGGAGCAAGACCGTAAACTTTGGCCAGGTTTCCTCCACTCATGCCCAAAGCCCTGGCTTGGGTGCACCGAAGGAGAGCAGAGCTGGCAGAGACATGTGTTTGCCCACAGGGTCCCAGGAGAGAAGGGCCTGATCCTGACCCAGCTCTCAGCAGGTATATGGCTCCTCTCTGGGACCGGCGTGCTGCAGGCAGTGCTGCCCGGGCCATGCCGAACCAGACAAGGGGCAGAGCAAAGAATTTGCCTGTCAAGGGACTTTGTGGGAGTGCGTTCATGGTGTTTCAAGGGTGAGCTGAATGTGGGCGTTGCATCAGCACTGCTGTGCACTCAGATGTGTTGGGTGCCACGTGTGTACATGCACCTTTGTATATGTACTCATATATACACATACATGCATACACGCATGCTCCCACCCCACCTGTGCTGACGCTTTGGCAGAGCCGGCCCAACGCCTCTCACCTGTCCTGGGGAGCAGCACACCCATCTCCAGCCTCTGAGCTAGGGGCCACGAGCTGGGGGGCTCTGAGGGCTGCTGACTGGCTGACCCCCTCCTTATGGCCTCACTCCTGCCGTGGTCAGCAGCAGAAAGTTTCTGGGAACTGGCTTTGTCCTCCTCCTCCTCCTGCTGCGCTTATGGTTAAGTGGGAGTCATGTCTCTCATCCTTGGAGTTGGATGCTCTGGGCCAGCCAAACCAACTCAGCTCAACTGTGAAGGGTTTCCTGTCTGGGTGGCCCCGGGCTGAGGGTGGCTCATGAGGATACCCCAATCCTCACCAGCATCCCCGAGCTGGGGCTTGGTCCTCCTCCCTCCAGCAGTGGTGGTGGGGGCGGGTCACGCCATTGCCTAGGCATGATCAAGCAAGTTGGGGACACCCGTGTGCAAGTGCTGGGTGTGGAGGGATACGGTGTGGGGCCGAGGGGGGTTGGTGCATTGAGAGCACCCAGAGCAGGGAAATTTGGGGGGTGTGGGTGGGATGGGTGGGGGAAATCCCCGCTGTGCTGGGTGGTGGGCATGCCTGTGGTGGGAAGGGCTGTGCCTGGTTGCAGGGGGCTCTTTGCAGACTCACCTGTTTTCTGCCACCAGGATCTGCTCCAGGAGTTTTCCTGCCTGGCCTCCCCAGCCTGGGCATCCCCCAGGCTTCCTCCACCAGCTGGAAGACCTCGGCGATGGCCCTCCTCATCTCTGCTGGGCCAGCCGCCTGCTTGGCGTGGGCGATGGCCCGGTGCAGGGCAGGAAGGATCCGGTCCAGGGCTGCCCGCACATCAGTGTTCACCCCGGGGGAAACCTCACGGTGCTCCCTGGAGCTGCCCCCGCCTGTCCAGCTTCCTGCCTGGCTCACACACTCAGGCACTGCCAGTCTCTCCGCACCCGACATGGCGAAGAACCGGCACAGTTTATAGAGGGAGACGAGCAAGGTGAGCACCATCGGCATCTCCTAGCACAGCATCCTCGGTCACCCGCCTCTCAGTAGCACCTGGGCGGGGCCACCACGGTCCTTGGGGGGACCCGAGGTGGCTGGAGGGGAGGCACAGGAGGGGAGATGGAGCTGGCCCGGGGTCCAGCCGCAGGGCTGGGCTGCCGGCTCCCTCTCCCCTCCCTGCCCTGCCGGGGATGCAGAGCTGGAAGCGGTGGTAGGAGCTGCCTTCCCAGAGCCAGGCTCAGCATCTCAGGTCCTTGGGGCTGATGTCACCCTGCGCAGGCGCCGCCTCTCCAAGGAGGGGCTCATCTCTGGGCAGCAGCATCCCCCTCCTTGCTGCAGATGCTCTTGCATCCCCCCAGACCCCTCCTTCCACAGCCTGCCCAGCCTGAGCTGGGGCTTGTCCTGCTGTTCCCATGGCCCATGTCCGCCCCTTGCCCGAGCCGCTGTGCCTGTAGTCACCTCCACGGCAGGCAGGCCCCCCTGCCCCGCTGCTTTTGCAGCAGCTCCCCCCAGGACCCTCTGTGACCGCTGAAGGGGGCGCAGGGTGGAAATAAAAGGCCAGGCACTGTGGTGGCCATGGCCGTGGTCACGGTGAGGATGTGGCCATCATGGTACTGTGCTTTGAACCCGTTTGGTATGAGCCTAGGGGGGTAAATAGCTCCCTTTTCGTTGTGGAAATTCAGAGCAGCTCTTCTGGGTGGGCTTGGGATTTGCATGATAAAAGAAAGAGCAGAAGCAGCCTGGGCCCCTTTTATTTTCTTTTTTCCAGGCCAGACGTGCCCAGGGCAGAAATGCTTTGGATACTTCTCGCCTGTGTTGGGAGGAGCAGCTTAAATCCTTGGCTCCAAAACCAGGTTGTTGCCAGCTCAGACTGAGACTTAAATTCAAGTTGATGTTTTGATGCGACAGTGTCGCTTTTAATCCTCTCTGAATCCACTACGCCGGGACAGACAGAGGAAAGGGACGCTATCTCACAGCGAAGGACAGTAAACAAGGCGACCCGAGTGGCACAGTACTGAAGGAGAGGCTCAGCACAGAACCAGTAAGGATTTTCCTGATAAATTATTATTAAGCAGGGGTAATGCTGTTGCAATGCAGCACAGCAGAGGGGTTTGCTACCTTGGAGGAGCCTGCTGCCTGGGGTGGGCTGGGCAGAATTCAAACCATTCCCTTAAGCTTGTCCTGAGAGGAGAACTTTGCTTTGTTTTTAGTTTTGCTTTGCTTTTTGAGACGGATTTTGAGCACCAGCAGCCTGGGCTCTGGGAATGGCAGGGATTCCCAGCCTTACCCTGGGAGATCATCTCCATTGCCTGAGGTCTCCTCACTGGCTCTGCTCAGCCCTCAGCTGCAAGGTCTCCCCAGGGGTCTCTGTCTCCTGGGGTCTTCTCCTGCCATGCTTTGAGCACAGCAGCCAGGGAAAGACTCGCTGAGCCTTGGTGGGTCTGCGGTTGCTGGTGGTTGGGAGTCTGGAGCAGCAGGAGGGAGCTTTGTCTCAGCTGATCAGCAAAAGCAGCTCAGACACTGCCCAGCCCTTCTCCCCCCAGCCTCCCCGCAAGCCTGTGTCCTCTCAGGGCGCTTGTCCCCTGGTTCCTATTCAACAGGGACAGGATGAAGCTTTTGTGCAACACTGGTGCTTGCACCTGGGGATGATGCCAGCCCCGACATAGGTGAGGCCAGGGGGCAAGGAGGGGGGTGATGGTGCTGCAGAAGTCCTGCCCCAGCAGCCCATGTCTGGTGGCTGCCCTTGGCTCACCAGGGCTTTGCAGACAGAAATGCCTTTCGCAACGCCAAATCAAAGCTCTTTCCAGCAAGGCTGGGAGCAGCTGAGGCCGGGAACTGCCTTTATCCAAGCTGGCAGAGGCAAGGCCCCTAGAGAAGCAGGCACCCTGCTCGGTTTCTTCTCTCCCCAAATCTTCCATCACTTATCAAAGCCCAGAGCTGTGCCAATCCTGCCCCAGGGCCGGGACAGACCCCACGGAGCTCCTGGCCCAACAGTGCTGCAACAGCAGAGGCAGACGGAGGCAGTATCTCTGTAGCCTCATGTGCATTTGCTCCTTGCCCCTGATTAAATAACCATCCTGGAGTTATCATGAGCTGCTGAAAGAGCTGAATCAACATTAATTAGTAACCAAAAAGATTGGTCAGAAAGGGAATGATGGGAGCAAAATACACAGGCTTTTGTTTGCCGACTGCAGTGAAAGTGCAGAGGGCTCCTGCTCTCCCTTGCTCCCGGCAGCTCCCCTCTGGCCCTTGGTCCCCGTGCACAGAGGTGGCACCTGCCCCATCCCGAGCTGCTGTGCCTTGGGACTCCCCAGGTCTGCTCCCAGCCTTGCTGACACTGAGAAAGCTGAAATCCCAAGAGCAAGTCCTCCAAACTGGTGATGTTTTGGGCAAACATAAGCCCAGGGCTTTTCCCTTTCCCTCTGAGCATTGCTCCCTTGTCCCCTCTCATTAGGGTTTTTGTCTTGCTGAGACCAGGCTGGGAAATGGCCTCCCCTTGAGAAGGAGGCTGGGAGCTTTATTACCATGAAGTTTGCTATGAAATAAGTGTGGCAGGACCTCAGAACTGGTTCCTGTCTCTGGCTTGCTGTCCCCCCTGCTCTCCAAACCAGTGCACAACCCTCACCCTGGCTGGGAAGGCACTGGCAGCAAGGGCACGGCCAGTGGCTCTTGGAGCTGCCCGCATATGTGGGGAGCCCTGTCCCCCTCCAAATGCACCCTGCTCGGTGTGGGCTGCAGGGGATGCTGGGTGGGAGAGCGTCTCTGCCCCTTTCCCCTCTGTTTTGACCTTGGCCTGTTTGTTTTCTCCCACTGGGGCAGGCTGAGCAAACAGTGGATGCCGCGGCCACAGCCACGCTCAGCCTGCACAGTCACAGGAGGGCTGCGCTCCTGGCCGCCCAGGATGAGGCTGCTCTTCCCTGCCCTTGTGCTGGCCCTGCTCGCCGCCACCCATGCTGAAGGTGAGCCTGAGCCAGCAAGCCCCCCACCCGGTGCTTCCCGCTTGCAGCCAGGGTGGGGATGGGGAGCGAGTGCGGCTCCTGGGCTGATGGAAGGGCTGGGGAGCCCGGGCAGGGTGAGGAGGGGATCAGGTAGTGACCATGGCCACTGGCCATGTTGGCTGTGCCTCACAGCGCGGAGGGAAGGCAAGCAGGCAGCACGCAGGTACCAGTGGTGCCTGGACAAATCCCTGACCATCCTACAGCTGGGCTGCTAGCATGGAGCTGGGACTCCAGCACAGCCTGGTCCGTGGCTCCCGTCCCCACGGGACGTGGGTAGGAGCAGGGAGAGGTGCCACTGTAGTCCTGGGGATGGGGTTACCCATGGAGAAGTGGGGTCCCCCCATCTGGGCTCTGCCTGCATTTGCTTTCACCCCTGGGGCTGGGCTGGGGGAAAGGTGCTGGCCCCGCTACCTCCCCCCGCCCCATTACTGCTCCTGCACTGACCGTCGGCTCTTGCAGACTCCTGCTTGGGCCGCTGCGATGATGGCTTCGATGCGCAGCACAAATGCCAGTGTGACACCCTCTGCATGTACTACCAGAGCTGCTGCAATGACTACTCCACCGTCTGCAAAACCAAAGGTACCAACCCTGCAGCTGCCCTCCCTACTAGGGCATATTGGGGTGGCTGCGGGTGCTCAACACCTCAGGGGCTTGGAGGGGTCCATGCTGGGTCAGCTCTGCACCCACCCATGTCCACAGGGTGAAGTCAGTGCCAGGATTTGGTGCTCAGGGTGCTGCAGCACCAGAGGTTTTTGGAAGCCAGCTCACTGCCACCCACAGTATGGGACCCCGGGGGCCGTGCAAATTTGTATTGTCTGGGAGCAAGGGGCTCCCACACCCAGACCCCGTGGGAGATGCCCAGGGCTCCTGGGGACCAACCTGCTTCCTCCCACAGTGACCCGGGGAGATGTGTTCGCCTTGCCAGAGGACGACTACCTCGACTACAACATTGGCAGAGTAGAGCAAAATGAGACAGCCGCCGAAGAACTGCCCACATCCCTGTTGCCAGCACAGCCCACGCTGGAAAACAAGCCGGACCCTGAGGAGACACCGACAGAGGTGCCCGTGGAGGAAGCGCCCAGCACCACGCTGGATGGGTTTGGGGAGCAGGTCCCCGTGGACGAGCCCGAGGAGCTGTGCAGCAGGAAACCTTTTGATGCCTTCACTGACCTGAAGAACGGTTCTCTTTATGCTTTCCGAGGTACCTTGAGGACCTTTGCCCAGGCACAGGGGACACGCTGCCACACCGTCACCCCACGCTGGTGGTTGCAGTCCCTCCTGCTGTTCCCACCTCCCCTCTCTCCCCAGGGAAGTACTTCTATGAGCTGGATGAGACGAGCGTGCGGCCTGGCTACCCTAAGCTCATCAGTGACATCTGGGGCATCGAGGGCCCCATCGACGCAGCCTTCACCCGCATCAACTGCCAGGGCAAGACTTACCTGTTCAAGGTGGGCAGGAGCCTGGCTGCAGGGCTGGGGGTGCTCCCAGGGTGGCCGGCATGGCTCCCCAACCCACACTGTCCCCACCCTGGCACCCTCCACACACATATGCACACTGTGGCTGCTAGATATCCCCAAATCCCTGCGACTGTCTGGGGCCCCAGGCAGCCACAGCCTCACCACAGAGCTTCCCCATGCTCCCTCCCCCCCGCAAACCC